AAGGCAAGTGGTGCTGCCCTGAATTTGCTTGATGTCTGACCAAAATATACATTTTGGCGGCCATACTTAGCATTAACTGTAACATTTTTTTAGAAAATATGTCACCCCCTCCTCAAATTCTGAAAATCTTCCAAGACTTGTTGATGTGTAGACGTTTGTGCCATTGGTCATAGCTGACCATACATGGCTATAAAAAGGACTTACAGATGAGGAACATCACAAGCAATCTGTCATAAGAAGGCTCCACAAAAGTATAAATTAGAGATTAAAAGTTTTGCATTAAACATTCAGCATGACCGTTCATCCTGATAGATAGATTGACAGATAGATAGATAGAATAATAGATCGATAGAGATAGAAATAGTCAGATGACAGATAAATAGATAGATAGAAATAGTCAGATGCTAGATAGATAGATAGATAGATTTCAGACGTATGGATTCAAGGCCTGGAAAGTACTTGAAAACAAACATAGGTCCTTGAAAGTGCTTGAATTAAATTTGAAATACATTTTGTTTATGGCGCTATTTCAAAAATTGTCCTATATGTTCTGTCAGACAGAACGAAACAGCACTAATGATTGGGGTGGAGATGGGGTAGCGCGAAAAACAAAACGTGTTTGTTGATGCAGCCTAGAGCCCTGAGCGGGACATTTTTCTTAAGCCCGCTCCCGCTGAATTTCTGACCGTTACCACCCGCTCCCGCAAACATTCTAATATTGTGTATTATAGAGGGATTCAAGTTTTCCGTCGCTACGACGGATTTCCGTCAATTGGAAAAAATGAGGGGAAAAGAAACATGTAGCGCATTGTTGTTGTTCTGCCGGCACACCAAAAATCATCCCGCCACGGCTGCAGCTTCTCATGACGCCGCTCGCATCATTCACAGTCGGGTTATTAGCAGGGAACACAGAGCAGGACTTGAATTTCGGCGCGGGATTGCGGCTATACATAACAATTGTACTCATTCCCGCGGGTTCCACGCTTATAACACGATGACAGATGACGGGTTCAATAAACAAGTACTGCCTGATTTTGCTCTATTTCATCAACGAAAATTGTTCCAAATAAAGTAACAGCTGAGCTGCTGCGCATCTCTAAAAGCAAACAGCGGTGTTTAATTCATTCAATGAAAGTGCGTTTTTGAACGAATCTAGTGAGTCAGTGATTCATGATTACCCATTCATAAAGACTTGTTTCATTCCTGAATGAATCAGCCGTTCAAACTAATCAATTAAATGAATGATTCAGTGATAAAAATCAGTGACTTGCCGCCACCTGCTGGCGGATTTAGTTTCATATTTAGGTAGCCTATAATTTCAGTTATTTAAATCATTTAATATTTCTATTTTCAAAATGTTATATTTAAAACATTAATCTCAACATGAATTTATGAATTTAATTGCACTCATGCCACCTCTGAGCCTCATTAAACGTCTGAAAATGTACCTACAAGCCACTTTTGTGTTCTTCTGTGCACCCTCTTTAGTACTAATTTCATATGATTGGCAACTTATTTGTCTTATTCTACTTCTTATTATATTGTTTAAAAAATAAATGTTAAAAAGCTTATAAACATAAATTTTTTAATTTGACGGATGAAAATGATACCATTGCAAAGGTAAAAAAAAAAAAACGCCCCTGTAAATCACTTTGAGTCAAATATCACCTCATATTAGGAAGGCTAATTTTTGATCAGAATTTTTGATTATTGATCAGAAGGTGCTCCTAAAAAGAAAAGTAAGCATAGAGCCATGTGTATCAGTATATTAGATCCTGCATGAGGTCTTAAAGAGACAGCAGCCTAAATAAACCTGCTGCTGCCTTTCATTATACAGTGAAGACTATCCAGTGTTATTTTACAGTTTAATAGATTATAGTTAAACCTAACTGAAAACAGTTATTGTTTTTGTTTGTGCTATTGATTGTCGTTAATTTATTTGTTCTTATTTTATTATTGTTTGTGCTATTGATTGTCATTAATTTATTTGTTCTTATTTTATTATTTACTATTTACTTGTCTTTTTTTAGTTAAAATAAATTCAATTCTGAGTGCATGTGATTCTTGGGTGGGGAGGGGGCGTGGTCCATGAGAAATAGTCATGCCACCACAGCTGGAAAAAAATCCTAGGAAACACTGCATGGCACATCAGGGAGCCGCTATCAATATGCGGGGTATGAAATCGCATTTGAATGAGCGCTCGCTGTTCACTTTCACTTTCAATTTTGCGATCACACGCACTCTGTGTAAAGGGAGCACATCTTTCACCACGTGCATAGTTATTAGGCACGTTGATATTCTGATCATATTTTTTTCCAAGCGTGGCAGAGTCTTAACTTTGATAAAGAATATCTCTTTGACTTTAGTCTTTGCAACATCAGGGATCTTATCTATGCACAATCAGCTTGTAACACTCCAAAGAGAAAGGAAAACTTGAAATCACATCATATGACCCCTTTAAGACAGATTTCAGTAAGTTGGCTTGAGAAAGCCGGACCAGAAAGTTTGAAAGAGTTTACAAATTTTAAGAAGTATAAAAAGTTTCAAAAGTTTTTAAAAATGTTCAAGTTGGATGGTTTTCAGCCTGAAATAGTTTGAAGTTTAAAATAGTTTTACAAGCTTAAGGCAATACAGTCTGACAGAGATAGATAGATAGATAGATAGCGTTAAAATTGATTGAATGGTAAGATTTAGAAACACATGCAAAAGATAAAAGTTTCACTCTGTGATCTTAAACTTTGCAACTAATCCACGAATCACATGCGTGCCGAACCGTGGGCCTGTTCTATACAGATCACGGACTTTACAAGGCACCCTGGTTGGGAAAGACTGGATTTATAAATGTTGCATGCAATTTGTCTCATTGGAGGTAGGATATTCGGAGTTCTATGTGGGTTTTTTCAAACGGAACGCACACGCAGGTTGGGGTGTCTTCTCGGAACTCTGTCCGCTTCGCTCAACACGAAGTTGAGAATTCAAGATGGCTGCTCCCACCGTGAAACGTAAGTGAAAGTTATAAATACTATAATTTTTTTTTTATTATAAAGCTTCTGTTATATTCCCATGTCATTATTGAGTCATACTCTCATTCTTGCCCAACCTCTATCTGCGAACATGTTGCTATGGTGTATGTGTCTGCAGTTACAAAATGTGGTGCAATGCTTTGTTTTTGCTAACAATGCTAATGCTAACATGAGTGAACTCAATTACATTAGGCGTGTTCGACTTGAAGCAGCGCTGCACATCATAGTTTAGCGAGAGCGATTCGAAAGCAGGCAGTGCCTCAACAGGCGGCCCATCTGCATTAATTTTTATCATAACATGATTCTACTTCACAACATCAGTCGAGTGTTTGAAATAACCTCATTTTGTGAGCTGATGTGCGGTTTTCATCACAGAATGAGGCAGAGATAATATATTCTATACGGTAATAAAGGCTATGTTGATTAGCTTTGGAATATAAATAAACTTTATTAATATGAAAATACCAGATAAACCATATATTGTCGCGTCGTATGTTTACTGTCATATACTGTTGGATATTTAAATAAATAGCAAGACCGCAAACGAATTCAATCAACCAAGCAATCTTGTTCATAAATGACAGGATTCATATGTCTATTAAAATCAAATCTGTTGCCGCTGACCAGAGAGAGCAGTTTATGTACATTAGAAACATCTTTACAAAGTATTTTGTATCGTTATTTCTGTGTTACAGACATTCAAATAATCACATAAGTACTGGGATAAAAGGTTAGCTCGGATATAAACACCACAGAAGCGATCAAAATAGAATACACCTTTATTAAAGTGAGGATTGTATCAATTACAACGTATTGCCAGCTGGTGGAGACAAGTGACTTAAAATGAGATTCAGAAAACGTTGATTCATTAAGGAATGAAACAAGTTAAGTCTTTATGAGCAAGTTATGAATCATTTGTTTTAACTTTTTTTTTATCAATTCGTTGAATATTGTATTTTATAAATAGACTGCAGCAATTTTAAATAGAAACTCTTTAAAAAATTACGTTATTTTGTTTAGTTGTCTTTTTTTCATAATCATGATGGGAGAACAGTGATATCTATTTTAAAAATAAAATATTGATACAATATAGTTAATATAAATATGAAAAATAATACTTCTTTCTAAAGAAATGTGTGAACTATATTTGCTCAAGAATGTTTTGAGTTTTAGCATTTTGAGTTTATGTACGAAAGTATTTTTTTACATCAATATAGTAAAACAAACTTTTAATCCAATTTTTTGTTCTAGCAAAAAACAATTCTAAATCAGTAAATCTGCAAATATTGTCTTAAATAAAGCCTGATGATGCAAATTGTAATTTGTGGCCCTTCACATTTTATGTAGTTTAAATACGGCCCGCTTGGCCTCTGAACTTGAGTACCCCTACAAACACCGATCGGTCTGCACGGTGCTGCTTCAAGTCGAACACACCTATTTTTCTGACTTCTCTAGAGGAACGCGGCCCACTTGGATGTGATGTTATTCCCAGCCTCGACATCCGAGGTCAATCGACCGCAGCATTCATTGTTATTTTTGGCCTGTCTGTTAGCTTTAATACTTTAACTCTTAATACTTTAGGTTTCTACAGCATTAAGGGTTTATCTATAAATGTATGTGTGGTGGGGAGGTATGAAATGATCAGACTTAGTAATTGTGCAATGCAATTAGGAATTTATCATTTAGAACTAGGAATTACACAAATAAATAATCTGCAATCATGCAAAGTATTAAAGTGGTACTAAGAAGAACAAATAAGAAATTAAACATTATTTAAACTATAAACAAAATGATTGAACGTTACACAATATCACTTACAAAAATATAAGAAGGTTGAATTTATTAAGTTATTTAGTGAGTTTATTCAAGTTAAGTTATTTAGATTAAATCACAGAAAAGTAAAAAAAAAAAAAACATGAGAAAACGGTAAAAAACAACAAACTGAACCAATGTCTTTTTTCCAAAGTGTAATCAGCATTAGTTGATTGGATCGAGGGATTCCATGCTCTCAGCTGGGTCCAGGGATTCCTTGTCTCCATCTAGTGATTCCCCACTCTGATCTAGATCTATGGATGCCGCAGCCTGAAGTGGATCAGGTGATTCCCCACTCTGACTGGGATCTATGGATGCCCCATCCTGAAGTAGATTCAGTGATTCCTCACTTTTAGGTGAATCCAGGCATTTTATGTTAAGGACATGGCTTTGTATATGCCGAACTTTCAGTTTCAGTGGTAGTTGGTTTACTTAAGCCGGGCTCACACTACAGGAGTTTTAAAATCCTAACCGATTATGAAATCTGGTTGCAGCACACACACAAGGAGAATCTTTGCAGATTATCTTCCCTCAACTCCGTACGATTTTCGGATAAACTCAATCGTGACGTGCCAGAGCTCACGACGTTCCGACCTTCAGAATCGCACCGTGTACGCCCGCCTTTAAACATGCACACACTACAAGATTTTAACATCTTAGCGCATCACACACTACACGATATTATTAAGATTATCATGCCAGAAGGAGCGCCTCACGTGACCTCACGCAGCAGATGTCATTGATATTTCAGGGATGTTTACATATGTTAGCTAGCGTGCTAGCTGATTTCTACACTCACCGGGTACATTCAAAACTGAGGCGATTTGACTCCAGCACTTCTCTTTCTCCTTACGGTTGTGATACGTTTTCAACACATTATACAGACAGTCGTGTTACTATAAAACGTCAAGAAGCAGTTTCCTCCATCTCCACTATCCAATGGAGCTAGACAGTCGTGTTACTATAAAACGTCAAGAAGCAGTTTCCTCCGTCTCCGCTATCCAACGGAGCCGTACAGCAGATGTTTTGCGGTCGCGCATTGGCTATTGTGAAAGTACTGACGTAATCTTATAGCCGTCATCATCCCGATTTCAATCCTAAATATCAAACATGTTTGATATGATCGGGGCGGCCCCGATTTGTGTGCGAGCAGATCGGGAGCTGCAAGATTTGATCTGTGAACGCCTCACATTACCAGATAATCCGCAACGAACATCAGACCGATCGAGGTGCTCGACATGATTTTTGGTCCGATTATCGGGAGGGGGAAATCGGGGCTAAATCGGGCTAAAAATCCTATAGTGTGAGCCAGGCTTAAGTCGTCAGGGACTTAATTCTTGCATAGAAATGGGCTGGGACAACATAGTCGTCCAGCCTACTGTCGAGAAGGATGAGCTTTTCATTTTTTTCTGACACCCCAGTTATCGCAAGCTCTTCCTCCTGGATCTGCTGGTCAATAATCTGGAAAAGAATAAAAACAATTCACATGTAGGGTAAAGGTTAGTGTTTTGGTAACAATGTAGTCTTAGGCCACTAGTATTTTCAGCAGCTAAAAATGGTCTTTTGCTGTAGCCCAGGGGTAGGCAAGTTCGGTCCTAGTCCAGGGGTAGGCAAGTTCGGTCCTAGTCCTGCAAAGTTCAGCTCCAACCCTGAAAAAAAAAAAACTCACCTGCCTATAGCCTTAGTAATCCTGAAGACATTGATTAGCTTGTTCAGGTGTGTTTGATTAGGGTTGGAGCTGAACTCTGCAGGACTGCGGCTCTCTAGGACCGAACTTGCGTACCCCTGCTGTAGTGTGTCAGTAGGAAATGTCACTTTACATTTCTAAATTTGTCTGAAGAACTGCGTCTCCAAGATGCTTCAAGAAACCTACCTGCAAAGCTACAGTACAGTTAAAGTTTTAGGCACTTGTGTAAAAATGCTGTAAAATGAGGATGCTGTCATAAATAGATGTTCTTTAACAATTAACTTCTATTAACTAAATGAGATCAACATTTGGTGTGAGCATCCTTTGCGTTTAAAGCAGCTTTTGCCCTAGGTGCACTTGAGCAGAGTTTCTCAGGAGCTTTGCAGGTAGGTTTCTTGAAGCATCTTGGAGACGTTGGCACAGTTCTTCTGGATTGAGTCTGTCTCAGTTTGTTCTGTTTCTTCATGTCACTCCAGACAGACTGATGATGATCAGATCAGATCTCTGTGTGTGCATGTGTGTATATATATATATATACACACACACACATTATTTACGAGTGATATATAATTGTTAACAAGGGCTGTAAGTGAAAAATACCTTATGGTGTGCATCATTTTTTAGCAGGTTTTCTTTTACGGGTAAAATGCACTAAAAAAGAGATTTAACTCCCACTGAGAAGTCAAGAATTATGTATGTCAAGGTCATGTAAATTACAGTATGAAAACCAGTATTAATCTGCCAGTTTTACATATTTATTTCTGTATTTTTTTTGTTTCTTATACAATATTTAGTTTCAAACTATTAAAATGTCAATTGTCAAACTGCATAGTTACATTTTAATTAAATTACTTTTCAGACAGTTTAACTTATACTGTTAATTAGTACATTTTGTACTGTCCATTGAAGGTTAACCAGTCAATATGAGCAACCCTATTCTGAATATTTGTGTGGATGAGTGTTGTGCAGCATATATTGTGTACCTTGACAGTTGTGTGGTTGGAAGAGGCAAATTTGCCCTTTCCATCTGGTGTTATGGTGGCCTTTAGGTCGGTGAGCTCCACCATGTCCCCAACATACAGCTCACTTAGTGCCTCTTCTCTCCACAGTGAAATATCTTGTACTGTGGAACCGCATTTAATCCGCAGATCCAGGATGGGCACCTGTCCTCTGGTCATCCTGGCCACTTCTACCTGGAAAATGACACACAGGTGAGGACAATACAGGTGAGGATTGCTTCTCAGTGCTGGTCCAGGAATCCCTCAACACTGAATATTTTGAGTGTATTCCTTACGTATTCCCAATCAAGATTAATTCACCTAAATTGTGTATGTCAGATAAGCTTGTTAGCGGACTCCAGGACCATGATTGAGAAACACGAGTACAGGAGGGGCTTTTGCACTGGGTAGTTATAGGAACTAGGTTTCGGGATTACAGAGATGGAATGTAGGCATATAAGTTAGACGATTGAAAAAAGAAAAAGGAGGGCTACATATCATCGAGGCTGAGAAAATAACACAACACCGCAGACAATGGTGACAGATAAGTGTTATAAACATTAGCATTTTTGTACACTTATGTCTTGTAACACTTTAAAATACAGTGTAGTTGTTTCTTATGGCATGCAATAAGTTTAGACCCTATTCTGACCCTAAAATCATTCCCAGTTCCTGCGGGGCGCACATGCCAAAAAGTTAGTATGCCCACCAATACAGTAGTTCAAGGAATTATGAAAATGTTCCTCCAGTGGAAAAGCCCCTTATAGCTTATAGTCAGTGGCGTGTCCACAAGTGTGGCACGGGGTGGCAACTGCCACCCTTAAAATGAGCTTTGCCACCCCAGTTGCCACCCCAAAGCAGCGTATGGGATCGAAGTGCATTGAGAGCGGAGCAGCGTGATTTTAACTGAAGCGGGGATCTTTTGAAAGTCGGAGAATTCTGGTTTTCGCTCGCTCTCAGAGTGCTCCACTACCGCTCAATCACTAGCACAATTAATGCCATAACTATAGATGTTCTAAACTAGTTCTGCCTACAAGGATTGTACTGCACGCACACATGTACAGACACATAATCGTGCTCTCACAAATGCAATCAAATAAATGTAATTTTACTGTGCTTCTATGTATCTGATTTAATAACCGATAAAATAACTGACGAAAATGTAGCTACTGTCATTTCATCCTTCCAAACAAAATTCACACTTCAAAAAGCTGCAATGACAGATTTAACTTTTAATTCTGATAACCTTTGAATCGTTTAATGCACACTTACTTAAAGGAAAGAAAATAACACATTCATTTTTTGTTGGTTATCATCAATGCGTGTTTGTGTGAAAACCCCCTTTGTAATTGTTAACATTTTCAAAAGTAACTGTAGGCTAATTTAATTTGCTCTTGCCCCCTCTTTGCCACCCCATGTATAAAATCCTGGACACGCCCCTGCTTATAGTTAATTATATAATTACAGTTATAGATAACTGTGCTACATATTCAGTTATGCTTTTAAAGTCACTCACTTTTTCTATCTGCCCCTGGAGACTAAGGTAGCTCCTATTTGAGAAGATGTCATCTTCGTCACCAGTCTTTAGTGGGGAAGGTGGACAGAGGGCCTCTTTTGCTGCTCTCTTGGCCTCCTCCGTTATGGCCAGTGGAGTCGTTTTAAATGTAATTGTTGCTTGATTGACAAACAAGCATGGCCGCCCATATTTTTGTGAGAGGGTGAAGTTCTTAACCACGTATGACTGCCCCTCTTCGAATTCTGGGTCACTGCCATTTCTAACCGACAGATATACCGTCTCTCCATCGGTTAGTGCACAAAAAGTGGTGAACTTATATGTGCTGACATGTATTTTATTCCTGGCCCTCCCAAATTTCAAAGCCTTTTGGCTCCTGCAGGTGGCAACACACCTGATGCGAAGTGGTGCTGGGCAACTGTAGGGGATCATCATCCTAAGAATGAGACAAAAAAAGAAAGAGGGTATTGTTTAAAAATATATGATATAACTTTTATTGTATGGACATAAAATGTGGTCAAAATTTTAATCTGTGCTGTCAGAGACTATCAAACTATGACTCATTTAGTAAACTCTGTCAAGATATCTTCGTATTTTAAAAGTCGTTGAAAACATAAGTTTGCATCAAAACATCACTCATTATATGACTATCTATTTCAAATGAATGCTGTTCTTTTGAACTTTCTATTCGTCAAAGAATCCTGAATTTTTTTGATCATGTTTTCACAAAAATATTAAGCAGAATAGTGGTTTTCAACAATGATAATATTAAAATGTTTCTTGATCATCAAATCAGCATATTAGAATGGTTTCTGAAGGATCATGTGACACTGAAGACTGGAGAAAACACTGAAACCTCAAGAATACAACACACTCAGTCAACACGTACATCAAGACTGAACAGACACACACCTTATCGGAGAGCTGCAAGATTCTGGGTAAATAAAATCTTGTGTATGTGTAGTTTTCATGACCACTTTTTATTTTTTTTACCTCCAGAATGGCCTCAAGAGGCAATCCATACAGCAGAGGAGAGCCGATCCGGGTGCGCTGCGTGGGCTTGCGTACCAGCAGCAGAACTGTCTCTTTTAAAAAATAAAAGCCCAATAAAACGAGAGTCACCAGGGATGGAAAGAGAGATTAATTGTGCAGTGTAGTCAGATTTTTTATTAACGGGAGTTTTTACGAGATTAAACTGACCTTTTTAGTAGCCTAGTTTAGTAACCCTTTTTTTGTTTTTTGTTTTTTACAAGATAACTTGCGAAGTCTTGATTTACTACTAATGCGTAAAATAGAAAAAAAAAATGCATAAACGCATCTCCGAC